CAAAGACTGGACAGCGTTGGATTGGGCGCGAGTAATGTTTTCAGATGAAAGTCAAATAAAGCAGTTTGCTCCTTTTCATTCTTTTGTTTATAGACCTGTTAATCAGCAACTGAATCCCAAGTATACTGCCTCTTTCTGGTTGTACAATCTTCCAGCATGATGGTGCACCATGTCACCGGGCAAAGATGATTACTAAATGGCTTGCTGAGAAAAATATTCAGGTATTTTCTCCTTGGCCGGGATCCTCGTCTGACTTAAATCCAATAGAGAATTGCTGGCATCTGTTAAAAAAAAAGGTAGTCGCTTTAAAGCCATCATCATATGATGATTTGAAAAAAAAGATAATGTTGGTTTGGTCCAATGAAATCACTCCTGCTTATTGTGAAAATTTGATCAACTCTATGCCCTCGAGAATTACTGCTGTGCTAGCGGCTAAAGGAATGCCCATAAAATACTGACATGACATTGACATTTTGTGTTTTATTTCACAAAGTATGTTGTACTTATTCCTAGTAATATAAATTATATTGGAAAAAATTGACATGGTTGTTCAATGAATAAAATTTTATGGTTAAAAAAATCAGTTTTTAGTCTTTTTCAACCCTTGGTCTCAGACTTTTGTCTAGTACTGTATATATATATAATTTTATACTTTTTAAATATTCACTCCTAACAAGCCCGCAATCAACTACTATTACTAAGTTAGAAGATGCTAGAAAATAAAAAATAGTTGTAAAGAGCAAGGAAACAGTTGACAGAAAACTTGAAAAGTTAAAGATTATATGAGTCAGAAAAACTTAAAGAAGAGTGAGAGTTCCAAAGCATTAAAGTACGGGGTAAAAACTAGATGAAGAAAAGTTTCTAAAACATGATAAAACAGATACCGTAAAAGAATGCAACTTTGCTGAATGACAAGCCAAGGAAGAATGAGTTTTGCTTAGTGGAACTAGAGATATATCTTCTTTGCGCAGCAACCATGTCAGTATTTGTAAAAAAGAGAAGGAGATGCAACTGTATGACAATAATAGAGGCCCAAGTTTGGCAGATAAAGCAGATCCAAATACTTTTACAATGGGATTTTGGACCTCGTCTAAAAGAAAAAGAACATCATTAAAAGAACCAGACTAGTTATGACAAAAGTATTTCATACAGAAATGAATACAAAATTTGTACATAATGAAATTAGGAATAAAATAATAGAGAGCATGATGATAAGAAGCAACCTTAGAAGATGCTAACTTTACAATGGATTGTATATAAAGTTTTCATGAGAGGTCAGTATTAATCCAAGGAGACACAAAGAAGAGGACTCAGTGAGAACGTTCCCAAGATATATAGCGATAGTTGAAGAATTGAAGAAAAAAGAAAAATGAGAATTAAAAAGGTTTCTAAAAAACACTTTCATAATAATAACAACAACATTGCCAGAAGAATAAAGAGAAGAGAATTATAAAGAATAAAGAGAAAGTTAATTGAGAAAAGTGGTGTTAATTGTGGAAGCAACTAAAAGAATGATCAAAAGATCTATACCTGATTTCTCAACAAATAGGTGAATTGATGCATAAGCGAATTAATGAAAACTGAAGTCTTGGCAAACCAAGGATAGTAGCCATTAATACTGAGATCGAAAGAAGAAACAGAATTTCAAATTAGTCTTACAAGAGCGAGCAAGACTGATAAATTTTGAAAAATATAAGATTCAACTGATGAAAAGGTATTTCGAAGACCAAAAATATTCATAAAAGATATACTGAAACAGTTATGTAGTGCTAAAGGGTTTTTAATACAAATATAAATGTGTGTTTAGATAAGCACAGTGACATCACACTGAAAAAGCCTGCTGCCAGGCCCTGTACATATGATGACTATCTTAAATCCTATGCTACGAAGGAGTGCCGCTACATCAACTGAGAGTTTAGCATCTGGCAGCAATCTTTTTTCTCATAATTCTTTCGCTTCTTTTTTTTCATCTTTTTTTAAAAAAAACCTTATGCTACAAAAATAAGCAAAACTAGTAAGCAAATGCTTATATAAATATGCTATAGTAGATACACACACATAAACATATATATATACATATATACATATATATATACATATATATATATATATATATATATATATATATATATATATATATATATATATAATATATATATATATATATATATATATATATATATATATATATATATATATATATATATATATATATATATATATATATATATATATATATATATATATATATATACCTATAAATATCATATCAGTCAGTCTTAAAAATGGGAGAAAATTTAATTAGTATAAATATGCCTTTTTTCTCTAATTAAAGTGTTTCTCTATATATACATTTATATATATATATATATATATATATATATATATATATATATATATATATATATATATATATATATATATATATATATATATATATATATATATATATATATATATATATATATATATATATATATATATATATATATAGATATATATATAGATATATATAGATATATATATATATATATACATATATATATAGATATATATATATATATATATATATATATATATATATATATATATATATATATATATATATATATATATATATATATATATATATAAAGAGAGAGAGAGAGAGAGAGAGAAACGCTTCAATTAGAGAAAAGGCACAAACACTTTGACAGAAAGCACATTGATGACTTCAAATATCAGGCAGTGGTCCTCAAGAATGAAGCAAAAGTAAGTAAGCTGACTGTGCTCAAATTGAAAGATAGGAAAGCTCAAAAAATCGCAGAAGAACTTCATGATGTGTCAGAGTAATACAACCTGTGGGGATCAATTGTAATGATTGTTGCCAATACAACAAGTACTCACAACAAGTGTGAATAATGACGAGAAGGCATACACTGTTGCTTGGCTGCACCAAATGTTCAAAGAGAAAGGTTACCACAAACCCAGTTCATCAGTTGCCTGCAACTTGTACTGGATCATATTTTTTTGCGTTGTCATGGATGATGAGCTCAACTAAATCACCAAACATTGAGTACTTCTTTTTAAAGGATTTGATAAGTAATTATGATAAATTGAAATCAGCCTTCAGACCAATCAAGTGGCGCTAAGCTGGTAACTGTGGACAATGAGAGAAAAATGAGATACTCTTCATTAAGTTTCAACAGAACCCAAATCATGATCTGTTCACGCTGAAATTCTCTGATTGTGTTCAATTTTGTAACTGCTTATAGGGACCTCAAAAATTAGGCAAAAGAGCTAATAAATAAAAATTTTTAAACCTTTTTATGCGTGATATTTTTTTAGCCAATCTTACTTGAAAGTAAGATTTTATCCAATTTTCAATGAAAGCTCATCAAATTATGATAAAGGGAAACGAGGTAGTAAAAAAGTTATTATCCTAGTAAATACAGAACGCTTAGCCTGATTCATGTTTTATTTTTTACAAAAAAGCAGCAAAACTTTAAATTGATTGAAAAAAACTAATTAAATTTTCTCCCATTTTTAAGACTGACTGATATAATATTTAGAATTAACCAATATGATAGTAATTTACTAATTATATAACCATAGGCACAGCATACACACTTATACATGTTGCATAAGGACCACACTGCATAAGTAGATGATTACAGTGCAAAAAAACTCTTTTTTTATTAGATCTCTTGAAGATCTAATAAAAAAAGATGAACTTTTTTTAAGAAAAGAATTCATAAGAGTTCTAATAAAAAAATAAAGCATTTTAAAAATAAATAAAAAAGTCAAACAGTGAAAATTAAGAAAAAAAATAAACAAAAAAAAGAACAAATAAATGTTTGCAGAAACTCCTGTTTCCACAAACATAGAACTTTGATTTTTTTTTTTTAATTAAACAAACTTTAAATTCCAGCTCTCTAATAAATTGCATAAGAGTTTAATCAAAATTACTTTTTAAATTACAGGTATTCATAATATTTAAAAAGAATTATAATATAAAAATAAAATTAAAAAGGTATAAAAATAAATTTAGATGATATTTTTTTTTTTTGTTATTTAGGTGCCCCAAGGAGTCCTTACAGTCTTGTCACAGAGCATCGCGGAAGTGCATTTAACCAGGAAGTTCACGCCTCCTTCCTTACCGTGACGCGAAATATGTCCAAAGCTCATTTCAAACCTGGATCTCCTGCTTATAAAGCAAGCGCTCTAACCACTGTGCCACGGCCGCACAATTAATAAACAAAAAATTTTATAACATAAAAAAATTGTAATTCTAAACAAAACTTCAGCCAGTAATGAGTAAAAAATACAGTATACAAATTCTTTGTCAAAATCAATCTTGATAAACTATATACAAATTTAACCATAAACAATCCTTTGTACTAAAAAAAGTAGTCCTAGTGAAATTTAATTAAGATTCAAGAGATAGAATTATTATCAATTTTTAATTAAAATTTAACAAATATGAGTGTCTATAATGGGAGGAATTATTTCAAATATTTCTTGTAGGATATGCTTGCAAGAAAAATTTGATATAAAAACAAAACCAAAAAATTTAATTTAAAAAAGATAAAAACAATTATCTTAAAAAAAAAAAAGGTTCTCTTTTTAAAAAATTTAAAAATATATACAAATAAATGATGCAATTTAAATATATAAACTAATAATTACTGTTCCTCTATGAAAATTTTACAAACTTAAATTTGATTTTTCTAAATTAGAAACTCAAACTTGGATAAAAAAGTTAAAATAGTATTCATTATTAAACTGTTATTTATTGTACATAAAAATACTATTACTATCATTATTAGTAGCAGTAGGATTAATACAGTATTAACAATAATGCTAATAAAAACAATAACATTAAAAATACTATAAATAATAATTATAAAAAGTTAAATATAGTTATAATACTATTATTAGTACTAAAATTAGTACTAAAAATACTAGCAGTATAATGCTGCAAACAAATAGGAAATATTCAAAAAGTATTACAAACAAACCTCTGACTCATGGCTGCTTATAAATTCCTCTGTAACATTTTTATTTTCTGGTACATTGTGGTTGCTGTTATTAAAACCTCTTTTCATATCACGTGATTTATATAAAATATAATCAGGATCCATTTCCATTGATCCAAGCTCCATTCCATCTGTATTGTGAACGTTATTAAAAAACTCGTTTTGAATTTTACTGTTTATTTCAAATAATTGGTTTTTAAACATACTTTTTGGTATGAAGGAGCGTAAAAAATCTTTTGATGCAGTGTCAAAGTTATCAAAATCTCCATCGGAATCAAAAAAAAAAGTTTCTTTTTCGTTATTAAGTTTAAATGCTCCAGAAGCAGATTTAGGTACTGAATAAGAGAATGTCTGTTTACCTTCATATTTATTTGAAAAACTATCACTATTATGATCGGTGTGTTCGAATGTAGCATTTATATGACTTTTTTTATTTTTGTGAAACTTGCAATCTGTATAAGATAGGGCGAATAATATAAGATAAACAATTCCAATGCTAAAAAAACATATTTATATCAAATTTTTGCCATAATAAAAAAAAAGAAAATTATATATATTAGATTTTTTTTTTTTCTATACATTTTAACAAAATAAATAGTGTCTATTTTAACATAATAACATCATCAACTAAAATTATTATCCAATAATGATAATTAGTATAGAAGAGCCAAGTTGATTTTTCACACTTTGCACCATTTAGACTGCTTATATTTTATTTTTAGTTAAATTTAAGCAAATTTTGCACAAAGATGGTTTAACTATTTGCAATAGCGATTACAATGTTTTCATGACACTTTGTTGGACAAAATTATCTGTAAAATTATTTCTAAGAGAACTTTTTTGTATAGTCATAGTCAATAAAGGGTTGTCACATTTCTTAAAATAAAACAACCAACAACTTAATTTTTTTATTAAATTTTTGATAATAAAGTTATAAACAATTATTTTAATAATTTCTATAATAATCAATTACTATAATAATAAAGTAATTATTTATATATTAAAGTAACACAACTTATGATAATTTTTTTTTAAAAAATTCCTTAAACTCATTTTTTGAAAACGTGAAATTGAATTTAGTTTTTTCTCGAACTACTTGATGATGAGCAAGTCATTAAAAACAGTAGATAAATAGATACTCCTCATTTTCATTTAAGTATAAAAGTATCTGCCTTTTTTTTGGAAGATTCAAATGTAATCATTCCTTTACAACCATTCACAAAAATTTAACTTTAACAAATTTTAATTTAAAATAACGACTAGTTTTAACTTAGCTAGTTTTAAAAAAGTTGCTTGTTTTTATCATTAGTATGCCATGCTTTAACAAGCCAGTTAGTAAAACTCATAGTTAAATGCTTTTTACTAGGTCTTTTGATTAACTGGTATACAAATGAATACTTTGGAACTTTTATTTGATGGTTCTCTTATTATGGGTGCTCCTATTAGAAAATGTAAAATAACTTTTTTACAAGAAAAAAATAAAAGTAGAATATTCTATAAAAAATTATTAAATCAAAATTTTTGAAAATCATTTGGTGAGAATTAGTAATTATAAAGACAAGATTGCATATTTTTGAAAAATAAGGAAATACTCATGTTAAAACTGTTTGCCTAACATATTCTTTAGGTAAATTATTTGGATTTGGAAACTATTAACTAATCAACAATTATAACTTTAACTGCAAGTTGAAAAGCAAGCTTTTATTACTTCTGTAGGTGACTCAAAAAAAATTTAGTTAGGTGATCAGCTCTTTTTTTACTGTGCCTAGCAAAATAAGTCAAATTTTGTAACCAATATTCACGTTGATAGATTCTCAATTTTCATCAACTAACTATTTTAGAACCATGTAATATAATTGTAAAAGAAACTTTTTTACAATGTGTTAGTTCTTTGTAACTATTCTACTTAAATAGACATTATATTTATCTTTAAATCTTTTAATAATAAGTCAATCTTTAACATTATCAAATCTGCAGAATTTTATTTAGTTTTTCTTTCAAAATTTTGTGACATTCTTTAACTAAGCTAAGACTAATTCAACACATTCATTTATACATGTTTTTTTATGCATGTTTATATATACATATATATATATATATATATATATATATATATATATATATATATATATATATATATATATATATATATATACATATATATATATATATATATATATATATATATATACATATATATATATATATATATATATATATATATATATATTATATATATATGTATATATACATATGTATGTATATATACATATATATATATATATATATATATATATATATATATATATATTATATATATATATATATATATATATATATATATATATATATATATATATATATATATATATATATATATATATATATATATATATATAAACTCATTACCTCTATGCTAGCCCAAATTACTTTAATATTTTATCATTGTGCTTTTTTTCTATGCTTTGCCATGGACACATGCTTATTGGTGCTACCCACTCTGTTATTTCTCCTGCGGTTAAAGATAAGAATGGTGACATTTCCGATTCTGCTAATTATTGTCCAATTGCTCTGGTTACAATTTTCTCCAAGATTTTGGAACATATTCTCACGTGTTAATGAAAGTTTCACTGGGACTCCCAATCAATTTGGATTCAAGAAAAACCATAGCACTTTTATGCCAGTTTTTATTTTAAAAGATATTTTATATTTTTACCTGTCACATGACTCAAATATGCATGTGGCATTTATTGACATTAGTAAGGCCTTTGATAGAGTTCGATTTGACACACTATTTATGAAACTATTTAATCTAAAATTATCTCTGGTGTAACTTTACACTTACTCATTATCTGGTATGCTGGTCAAACAGCTCAGATCCTATCGAGTGGAATATTATCCAAAACATTTAATATCAGTAATGCGTCAAGGAGGTGTACTGTCTCCATTTCTATTTAATATATATATATATATATATATTAACAATCTTAGTGTTCTACTTAATAAAACTACCATAGGCTGCTGCTTAGGTCCTTCTCTGATAAACCATCTTCTTTATGCTGAGGATATTGTCCTGTGTGCACTATCACCCTCAGGTCTCCAGATATTACTTGACTTATGCTCTAGTTATGCTGAAAAACATGATATAGTTTATAACAGTATTAAGTCTCAACTGTTACTGTTGCAGAATAGTGAGAACCTTGTCTTGAAAGCTTTTGTTAACTCTGACATGTTCTTGCAGTCTCCATTGTTGATTAAAAGGAGAGCTGAGTTATATTTATAACACTTTTTTTTTTTTTTTTTTTTCCCTGGGTTTTGTTTATATTTATTTATTTTTTTATATCCACTTTATTTTACCCATTGTAAATGATTTAGCTTTGATTATAAATAAAGTTCTCAAAACTGTTTGTTTCTAATAAAGCTTTATAAAACCAAAATATGCTAGTTTTGTTAAGATACGCACTATAAAGACTTGTTTCTAAATTCATCGTCATTTCTACAATAATAATACTGTTATTTTAAATTTGATATAAAGTTAATAAAAGATAATTTTGGGAGTAACGTAATGTTAGACGTTATATTGATTACTTAATTACTATTTTGGCTCAGGTAAACAATTTGATTATGAGATTCAAAAATCATTAAGTAAAATACTAATTTATTCATTTAATTGCACACTGAAAAAAATCAACTTTAAAGTCTCTAAAAATAAAGAGTCTTCATTATTAGTTTTGTACATTATTTCTAAAGTAAAATTTGTTGTATTTATTTATATATATACTTTCTTTTATCCAAATGTAATTATAAAGGTCTAGTAAAACATTTGATCGGATGTAAGATAATAAAATTATTTGTAATGTGTTTTTCTTTAAGCTTTAACATCATAAACTAAACTACATATTGTACTTGCAAGTACATTATGCAAAAAAAAAAAAATAAATAAATAAAAAAAAAAAAATGAAAACAAACAAGAAGCTGTATAATGTCTATTTTTGGCTTAAAAATAGCTTCTATTTTTTTGCACCAAGTTTAGCAGTTTTTTATAGCTTGTTTTTTTTCTTTTTTTTTTTTCTTTTTTTTTTATATTATACTTTTCAATATTAATGTAAAATAAATTTAACAATTGTCATAAGAATTAGATCTATTTTTTATGACTATGATTTAACTTAATATCTCTTTCTAATGAATGGGAATTTTATTCAACGATACCCGCAACAGCAACATTTGAATAAATCGGCATTGGCAACGCGACAAATGTATCGGTCGTTGATCGGCGAAAAGATGACATCGATACGATATTTTAAAACTCTTCATGCTGAGAATAAGCAAATGGTATATCTCTATTTCAACGGTATCCTTTAAGTCTGCAAACATGAAAAAGATTAACCTTTCAGTTCAAGACACCCTGCCCAAACCCACACCCTCAGTCGATGTATGCACACTCTGCCTATGGCTGTATATATCAGTCGATGTATGTACACTGTGATGCGCCTATCCCTATATATCCCAATTTGCCTAATCCCTAAAAATCCTGGTTGACGGACGTCAAGGAGCTCAACGTCGGAATAAAGGTTTGAAAAGAGACACAACATATGTAAATATATACGCGAATTGCCTCGATTATAAAGGCATGTCGAAATAAAGGCATGTGAAAATGAAAATGACCATTTGAGCATGAGACGTTTGTTAAAAAATGAAATAAAAATGAAAACAAGCTATTTCCAAAATAAATATTGGAATAGTGGTAAATTTTTGTTATTACCAATATTAGAAATTCATTTTATTTCAGTACATCTTAAAGTATTTGAAACTTACTTGGACAAAAACAATTTCACTATCAAAAACCTCAATATTTTAATAAATTCTATCATGGTAAGGAGTAGTGTTTCGACTAGTCGACTTTTAGTCGATTCGACTTCGACTGAATTGACTAAAAGTCGGCTAGTTGAAAGTCAAAATTAGTCGACTAAGTAAGCTTTAATAGTTGATTTAATCGACTATGAACTTATATACGCGAATTGCTGCTGTTGAAATAGAGGTTAATGAATGGAAATTGTGCGGCCGTGGTGCAGTGGTGTGTGGCCGTGGTGCAGTGGTTAGAGCGCTTGCTTCATAAACAGGAGATTTGGGTTCGAAACAAGCTTTGGACATATTTCGCGTCACGGTAAGGAAGGAGGCGTGAACTTCCTGGTTAAATGCACTACCACGGTGCTCTCTGAAAAGACCGTAAGGTCTTCTTGGAGCACCTAAATAACAAATAAATAAAAAATAAAAATAAAAACTTCCTGCTAATCGAATAAAATTCAATTTAAAAATAAAGTAAAAGTCCTTAAATCTTTTCAATTTAACATTTCAATCAATTTAATTTTCAATCTTTAATTTTTGTTTATTAATTTCGTAACAATAACTACCGCCTAGTTTTTTGTTTACTCTCTTAAAATTTTATCTAGTTCATCGCAATATATTCATTAGCATTATTTACACTTAATTAAACTT